TGCTATTTTGATGTCAGTAATCTTTCAAGTACGTCCATGAAAATCGGCGTGATATTTACCAGCGCCCTTCTCGGCTCAAGAAAGCTTCCTGCAATGCTTGCATCACGGGTATGGCGGCTAGGTTGGCGGGGTCGGGATTTCTGTTCAGTCTCAGTCATCCATCAAGTGCAGTAGTATCTGGATTGGTGGGATGTACCCTTGGGAGTCTGTCCGACTCAAGTATTTCTCCAGCATTCGAGAGAATACGGGCTTCATAGCCACGGCCACCGGGTTAGGGCCGGATATGCTACCAGGTATCGGTCCCCGCAGGTGGCTTCGGAGAAAACGCGAGATGGAAGCATCATCCATCGAAGCGAGGTCCATCGAAGCAAGGTCCATCGACGCGAGGTCCATTGAAGCGACGTTCATCATGTGTAAAGAAGAGGGAGTGAAGCTGGGAAAGTACTTTAGACCGACTCTTCTGAGGTGAGGCCTGTTGCGAGATGAGGCCTAAAGGTGGGGGAGATGATAACAGAAGGTGAGCCGGATCCTCAGATGGGTGGTAGGAGGCAGGTAAGTTAAACGGTTTGGTGGGTGGGAAGAAAAATCTGCGAGCGTTGGGAGGGAGGTGAAAAGAGGGCACGGAAATGTTTGCCTTGGAAGGCACCACCCGTACTTCGTTTATTCTCGCTCCTTCCCTACAGGCTGCCGCCTTTTTCTTCCTCATCGTTGCTTCCACCAGACCATCGCTGTCACTATTTTTTCTACTTTGAATGCCCTATATCGCTAGATCGTCTGATACATTCTCCAAAGAACATATATACAATGACAAATAGAGAGACACTGATAAGGGCAGCTATGATAGTAAGGAGCTTGATTGAGCTTAAGTACCATGCGTTTCCTAGTTGATTGACTGTTTGAACTAAATCTCGATGAGGAAGGGAATGCCATCTATGAGCTTGTCTACAAGTCATGGATTGAAGGCAGCCGAGCCGCCCTGTATCCCTTTTGTCTCAGAATTTTCTAGAACACAGCTGGACACCCCTCTCCCCCCCAGGCCAAGGCGCCTTCCTAAAGGTTCGTATCCACCTCTCTTGCTTCAAGTTCAACCTCTATTCTACAGCCAAGCCCGAAGTGATTATTCGGACTTTTAGATCTTTTTATGATATTTGATCATTTGCACACTCAGTAACATCGCAAGAAGGCCATGAGGAACTTTGATATTGCTCAGCATCTCACTGATTCTATGTTTTGATTCACCAAGTATCAGTGGCCAACTTTCGTATATCATCGCATGTATAATATCCATGTAAACAGTTTATTATGGGACCTAAATGCGCCTCTTCTTGTTGGCGTTGTTGTTGTTGTTTCTGTTCCTTCCGTTCCTCCCAGTGCCAGTGTTACCAGTATTGCCAGTGTTGCCATTGTTGCCGTTCGTCGCGCCGCCAGCACTAGCACCGCTTACACGCTCGCATCTCTCGCCGCCATCGCCATTGCCACAACGGAGGGGTAGCAAGCAGCAGCCATCGGGGTCTGCGAATTGCTCCAGTCCGTTGGCGCCTTTGCCGAGGGATTGGCAATCAGGTCCATCCGGGAAGCCGCATCTTTAATTCGAATACTTGATTAGCAAGAGAATTCATCTCAAGAGGAACAACATGATCAGCCTGGACTTACCCATTTTGAGCGAGGACGCCGGCGGAGAAGAGGGTGAAGATGATGGCTGAGAAACGCATTATCGAAGTGGTGTGAACGGAAATTGTGTAATCGAAGATTTCTGCGCAGCAGATTTGAATTGGGAATTATAAGATCTAAGTAGGCAAGAAGCACACGACAAATGCGGTTGAGTTGTGATGGTTTGAATTGAGACAAAAACTATGAAGTGAGCAACTCCTATCTACATTTATAGTACTTGAGTTGATCCTATTGACCATCAGCTTGGCTATGATCTGCAAAAGTCTCAGCTCCTAAACATCTTGGCTGAAGTCCTCAGCTGTTTTGCCAGGTAGTATCGCTTACTCCGAAAGGAGTACTCCGTTCTGGATAATACGGGGTAGTAAGCCCATTCACAGAGCAGGCCCACCCGCGGATTCCCTGCGAAACTCAGCTCTAAAACCAAGCTTAATGGAACTCGGGTCCTGATTCAAGGGGTGTGTCAGGATTGGGCGGAGCCATGCTAGGTTCATGGTTTTAAGCTTCAATATTCGGTTCGTTATGGAAAAAGAAACTGAGAAAATTTTGAAGATCGTGGATAAATGTCTTGCGGGATATCTTTTACAAGAGCTTGGAATGAGGTTTTGCGAATCCAGGATAATAGATCCAGTCTGGAGTAGCCTTGAGTTGGGAAATTGACTTTTGTATGGCAGTATGTTACATAGGTTTCATCCAATGTCCAGGGTGGTCATTAGGCAAGCCAGTACCGATATATACTGTCATGCCAACGAGAAAGTTGCTGAGACGAGGGATAGGCCCAGCATCGGTGTCATCCGATTTCCTGAACTACCTACCCAGCACTACATTTACGCGGACTACGCCTGTCATGCAAGTTGACGCGTGCTGCCGTCTGAAAATTCCCGGTGGATCTTGTGCGTGCTTTCGTCAGTGCGTTGACTTTGTCTCAAATGATGGCAATGTGAACTGGGAAGATGCCTTCGGTAGTCCACCCAAAATCTAAGATGAACGCTCAGGTTTATCACTCTTCGAAATTCATCGACCGTGTCTTGAATATCTACGGATCTATGCTTCAATCCAACAAGACAGAACTTGTGTCATGCATTGCCTTGATACTTTTTGCAAGCGAAAGACGAAGGTACCACCGAAGGTAAGACGATGACGCAGCCTAGCTCTTGAGTTCGACTGGGCAAGTGTCTTTCCTGGAAGCAGGTAAGCAAATGGCGGTATAGGCAAGCAACAAGTGGGTATGTGGTGAATATCTCATTCAAGGTAACTTTAGCCCTATCTCAGTTCCAAGCCCCTGTACGCGAGGGCTGATGTGAGGCGAATCCGGGGTGGAAGTTTTCGAAACTTGTTCTATACATGAGAGGACCCATCGCATCAACTCAGGGGTGATAAGCCTGCCGAGAAAAGCGAGGGAGTCGGGCATCCCTCGTCACTTGGGTTGGACCAAACTTAGAGCACATGCACGTGTAACTTTAGATGTGCCTCACGGCGAGAGGACTACATTTGTACAGCGGGCCGCCGCGACGTGCGGCCGACATGACTAGAATTGCTTTTTCTGCCTGTACCACCTTCATCCGCATCATATTCATCCTTCTGAACTGTGTCTATATTGCTCATACTCTTTATGGACTTTGGCGCCTCTATGTCTCTTGCTGCCTTCGACCCTCGAGAGATCGCTCGATGTCAACTCAAAGTTGGACATAATAGTCAATAGCTTAGTTGCGTAGGTCTCGCTCTTCGTGGAGCATCAAACAACTGTTCTTGGGCACAGCGAAAGGCTGCGCTACCTTGTGCAGCATGTAACCTAAAGCTTCGTCAGAATGGTCTGAGGTATTTGGGGCTCTGTGGGCACCTACTGCGATTGCGCATCCGTTACCCTCATTGTAATTATCCCCATCGTAACTGTATCGCAGCTTTTCCTGACTCTGGCCAGCCTGACAGACAGCGTTCGCCAATGCAGTACACTCAGAAGCCGAGCCTTTCTTGTACACAGTGCCTCGGTAGCTCTGTGTCCGGCAAGACGCTGCTGACGCAATCGTGGCATATAAACCCACAACAGCGAGGGCCTTTGAGCACAACATTTTTGAGGCTTATAACTACCACCTGGGGTGTAGAGAAGTTATGAATGTCGAAGGAAATGAGGTTGAATATGTGGTGAGAGTCTCAAACTTTTCCAAAACTAATCACTAATACGCTTGAATAGACTACCGTATGTTAGCAATATAATCCCTATGACCTGACGGAGTTGGAGACTTACTGTTCTTTAAAGGTCTTCTCAAAATTCCATTGCGATTCTGGTTCTCTTCCTAATTACTTTCTTTACCAAAATTGAATAGGAAAGACACTGTGAATAAGATTGCATGCTCAAAGATCGACAGACCGGGTCCCCGGCTTATTAGTAGAAGACTGCTACCTGCTTAGGTATTTTCTTCGCTTAATATGAGAGACTTTAAATAGCTTGCTACTTACGGGGTTTAATACGAATCCTCACTTGCTCATGACCTGGAGTTGGAAATTTAGCTTAAAGTTTACCTAAACGACAGACCATTCTGGGTCTAACAACGGGGTGTATCACACATATCTTACTCATCTACAATAGGCCCGTGCTAGGTCATGCGTGGTAAGTCCTGCGATGCCATAACAAGACCGTTCTCAGGTGCGTGGGCCTTTTCATATTTGGCTAATCTCGCCTGGAAGCAGGTGGGGAACAAACTTTCTACTACGAAGTTACGAAAAACTTGACAATGAAGACGGGAAACGGTTACCGCCAGATTTATTGTAACTGAAGGTACCCGTTACCAGCTTGTCAGAACGAGAGGGCCGGGTATTTGTTAAGGACCGGCTTTTCGTCCTGTACGACAATAAACTACGCCTCCGGCTGCTGCGTTCTTACTATGATTATCCTGCGGCAGGTCACCCCGGAAGAGCAATGATAGAAGTCCTCTGCAAAAACTGTTTGTGGCCGGGGATGAGCCAGGCGTTGGGTGGAACGGACGCAATAATTAGCCAATCGTGCGCGCGATGAAAGTCTCCAGACTTCCATATCATGGTCTATTGCAAGCCCTTAAATTCTCACAGTAAGATGGTAGGGCATCGCTGTCGACTTCATGACAGATCTACCGCGTCAAAAGAACGAGACAACCGGACAATAGTCAGAGAATCTTACACAGTTTTGGATCAAATCGATAAACAATGTCGAAATATACCTTGCTACAAGAATGCCAAGTCTTCATAGCTTTAATGCTAGCATCTTGGAGCCTTGTCAGAACCATATAATTTCAACGTCATAATAAATGAGTGTAAATGAGTATGACAATGATACTACAGTGATCGGATTTATAAATTCAGAATCCTTGGACGACATACAATCGAATCGCAAGCCGAACAAAGCTAATGTCGTACAAAAACGGAACCGTAATTGCCGGCCAGCAATTACGCCTTATTTACCACAGCTAAGTATAAAGAGAAGATCATAAGTACTGTAAACTGTCACGGTAACTTGGCTGCCGACAGTGGTAGATGATGTAGAGGCCAAACACGGGGATCTTCGAGACAGCTAGTCATTGTTTTGCGTCGGCAAAGTAGGGCACTACGGATTGGTAACTACCTTGGAGTGCTACAGCTATCGGCCAAACCCCACCATCCTCCAAGCATCGCACTAACTAAAGCAGCCAAAACCGAGTAGGATTTGATCAAATCAAAATCAAACTCAAACAGATGGTGCTACAGCCAATAATTGCTAGCTGGACAACGTTCTGGTTTTTTGTTAGGTCCCAATGAATAGCGCATCCGAGCAGCTTGAACATCATGGCTCAAAAACGATGAGAGAGGAAAAGCTTACTGTCATGGCTCACAACTTCAGCCACATGTAACCCAGTTCGGGCATCTTCCATGCGGGTTGCACACCTCGGCGCAGTTTCCGCTTGCTGGTCGCGGGAGTGCGGCGCAGCCAGAGGCATCGGGAGTTCGGTTGCATTCGCAAAAGCATGAAGCTTGTGCAACGATGGTGGCAACTTGAGCTGCAACGAGGAAGATGGCTGATAGACGCATTGTGACGCTCGGCTATGGAGTTAAACAATCTTTAAATAGAAGTTCTTGAGGGTTCTATAATGAAATATGTCTGTTGTGATGAGATACAAAACCAGGTTGTAGCGATGAACCATTTCCGTTTTTGCAGGTGAATGCTGGCCTTTAAATGTCTTCGCCTGGTCAATAGCTACAGTGATTGAGTCAGCTGAACTTTCCTTCCAGACAACATCAGTGAGATATTCTTGCTGGTTTCTAGCACGCTCCTCCCTAGACGGTGTATGAGAGTTCGAAAGTTGGTCTAGGCCTCGAAACTATATTGACCTTGTTTCTTATTAAACTGTAATATCACACCTGCGGCCTCTCTCGCGGCCTTGGTAATCTCATTCGTTGTCAAATAAGGGCGTAAACTAAAGTGATGATCTTTATGCCTGACACGGATACTAGAAATGCCGTGTACCGTGCTAGACTGCTTCATCCCTACGGAGGTAAACAGGATGCTGCTTTAGCGAAAAGTTTGAGTACCGAGCACAAAATTTCTGGAAATTGCTCTTTCTACATGGTTTTAGCCAGTGATTCAGCGGGTTCGCGGGCTTTGATGCTCGAGTCACAAACAGGCTCCAATAAGGAGGAAATCACTGTATACAGAGTAGTGCCACGAACCGGGAATAGTATCAGCGCCTATTAAGCATTCTGGCACGTGTTTCTACACGTGGGTCTTGCACTCATTCAGTAAATCGACTGCTCTCTTTACCTCGTTCTAGACTGGTTTGTTCAAGTCACCTATAGCCCATTCCATATGTCCATTGCCGGTTGTCATTTCTCATGACAAGTAGTAATGTCAAGAAAAAGAAATCATCGATGTTATCTGTCGAGAATGATGGTATAGACTGAGACGAAATCCTCCTGCCCTACCCTTGATGTATGAACAGAAAAGCTTCTTTCGCTCTCTTGTGCGATGCCAGCGAATATCTCATTCATCTCCGCTAAACTTTCTATCTAGACGTGATGTTCTTTTTTTTTTTTCTAATCGCCGCTCGCATTAGCCCCACACGGTCGGCCGAACTCCAGGCCGCTCGGAGACTTAGGATGATTTGTTCGGAGACATAAGTGTATCGAAAGCTCTCCGTGGTAGCGGACTTTAGGCGTTCTGCGTGGCATAAACTCCCAAATTCTTTGAAGCTTATTTGCGGATTCACAGTGATTGAGTTTGCGACATACCTCTAGTACTTGATCTGATTGGTGTGGCTGCTAAAGGATTATTTTGCCAGCAGTACTTACGATGCTGCATGTATCTAAATCGATTGTCAGCTTGTCTTGTCGCGGTATGAGCCTGACTCACCGTAGGAGTGCCTACTGAAGCAAAAGTAGTATCTTAACAAATCGTGAAGCCATATTCTTGCCTCGTGATACCAAATAATTGTGAAAAGAAAACAAGATGCAAGCTTTCGTGTGCCCTCCCTAATCATTCTGGGCCGGGAGGATCTCGGCGACAAACGAAGCCAGGGGTCCCTATGATGGACTCCTGGTTGTCCCGATCTTGAAGTCCGTGCTCTTTGTGCAAGAGAGAGGGCGACCCGCGCGCAGGAGAGTTTTCCCCAAAAGCCATGTTCGAGGAAAGTCCGCAGTGCCTTGCTTACGAGACATCTGAGAAGTCCGCGATCGGCTCATAACGACTTTACGAGTTATGCGCACGTGCAAAAGGCTAATCATGTACAGACGTAAGGACGATACCTACGGAGAAGCACTATAGGCGGAGCGGAACGGAATAGCCTCAGTATTAGCGGCGCGTAGTCACAGACATATCACGAGAATACAATACGTCTCTCACTGTTCAATTTCAAGAAGATAATTATAAGTATCGCAGTGTGATACCAAGTTTCCAGCCTCGATCTCATCACTCACAATCAACAACATTCAATCAACCATCCTCGAACACAAGTTCATATTCTTGCAATACCAAGTCCAACAACAACTTCGTATCCCACAAAATTATATCAAACACTTCAAAGATGTCTTCTTCCAAGCCTGTTCAGTTCAACAACCGCGTCGCCATCGTCACCGGCTCCGGCCGCGGACTCGGCCGTCAACAAGCCATCCTCCTCGGCAGTCTAGGAGCTTCTGTCATCGTGAACAGCACCACTCCAGCAACAGCCAAGTCCACCGTTGATGCCATTGTCGAGGCGGGGGGAAAAGCTATCGCTTGCGTCGGTTCCGTCACTGAACCGTCTGTCGCCGAGTCTCTAGTCAAGACAGCCATCGACACATTTGGCCGCATCGACATCGTTGTTAACAATGCCGGTACATACCAGGACAAGGCTTTTGACAAGACCACCGTCGCCGACCTGCGGGAGATGCTCTCAATCCACGTGGAGGGCTCTTACAACCTTACTCGGGCTGCCTGGCCACACATGCAGAAGCAGAAGTATGGTCGCGTCGTCATGATTACCTCTCACACGATTTTTGGCATGCCCGGTATCTCCAACTACGCGGCTGCAAAGGCGGCTCTTATCGGTATGGCCAAGACGCTCGCTGTCGAGGGAGAAGCGCATGGCATCCACGTCAACTCGGTGGCTACGACTGCTTACACTGATACCACTGCTGCCAACGCCCCCGAGCAGATGAGGGGATTCATGAAGGCCAACCTACCTGCTTCTGAGCCAGCGCGTGCCGTCGTATGGCTCACCAGCGAGGATTGCAAGGTGAATGGGGAAGTCCTTGGTGCTCAGGGAAGGATCGTCAATCGAATCTTCTTGGGCGACACAAAGGGCTTCAAGGGGTCGAGCAACGAGGAGTGGACTGTTGAACGGGTCAGAGATAACTGGGAGGCGGTGGTTGATGAGAAAGACTACGCCGCGCCGAAGAACACGAACGAGATTGGCGGGATGTTGTTTCAACGCCTTTCAAGTGATTCCTAGATGATGGCACAGCCAGAATCATATGGGTGAATCCCGCAAGTTGCAGGTCGTTAAATGCAATGTATCTACTCAAATTGGATTGATCCTTAAGAATTCTAAGCTCGTTTGTTGGCATTCATTTCGCAGAGTAGTTTGATTCGAACTAATGGGTGACGAAGAGGGTGATTTGACCGTACTAATGTATTCTGCATAGGGTGTAAAAGGAAGGTTCTAATTGTAGGTTGGGTGGGTAGCGATAATTAGGAGTAGGAGCCGCAAGTAGTCTCTGCGCGGCTGCCCGCCTCGAGGTATAATTGGAGCTCTAATTAGACACTTACCCCTTGTTGGGGTACTGGAGTTCCATGATGAAATAAAGCACTGGTGGAATGGGAGCATATGAACCCTCATTGAGATTCAGTCCGAAGCAGCCTCCCATTATCCATTTCCTCAGCACGTGAGTCAGTATGGTGAGAAACTCATTACGAAAAAATGACTTTAGAACCCACCTCTACGACTGGTCAACATGTTATGTCTCATTCAAAATTTATCGCTCCTCAGGTCAGTTTATCGTGGTGTAGCCATCACAGTGCTGTTGAGAGCTATAATTGATTACACCCTGACTACAGGCTTGGCCCGTTATTGAGATTCATACTCAAATCTTCACAGGCCGGCCTCAATGACTAATTGTGACTCTGGCTTGTCACCGGCTGATCGCGCATATGACCACCGGGTTCGCAGATCAATAAAGGAAGACCGTTTGAACAGAGAAACGTATGAGTGTTTCTTAAAGTAGATGGTAATCGAGTCTAAATGTAAAAGATTGGTCATTTTGAGTCGAATTGTTGGAACGAATTGTAATTATGCAGTATCTAGTGATGGGATTGGTTACACAGCAAAGACGAACAATACTCTCTTAAACTCGAGCAATTTGAGGATTAGTCAACCACCAACTCTCGAGTGACGTTTACTGCAATTAATCTCCAGGTCCTCCACTGACATGACTAGTAAACATCCAGCCAACATGCAAACCAATCAAAGCACCCCGTGGATCACCAGCGATCGCCATTTGGGAAACCCGGCAATGACGGCACGTTAAACGAGATCCCATGCGGGCCCGCCATGTCCATTGGAGCGCGGACATCGGCCACGCTAGATAACAAGAGGAAGCTCGGTCCCCAGCGACCCCGGGCAGCTGCTTTATCACACGTGCCCAGGATATGTTGTTGCTTTGGATGATAGCGAGATAGCAGCTTTGCGAATTGCGATTTCGGTCGCCCCCGATGGAGATATTGAATGAGGGGTGGGAGAACGGTGGGTTATCATTTGCCGCGTCAGCGCAATAGAGCTGCGGCTGCCCGGAAGACCACGCCGTCTCCAGGTCCTGCTCTTGGCTCCTGCAGAGAAAAAGCTTGTTTGAGCGGGAAGCGCATCTTTTAAGAGCTTGGCTGCATGCCGTTCCCACGCCTTGTATCCTGGGCCTTGCTGACCTGCTCAGAGGATCTCGTCAATCGTTGCTTGAGCTCGCCAGGCAGAATTGCGAATTAGGTTTTCCAGACGTTGGACCGTTCGTTCTTTTGTTCCATTGGGACCCTATTCACGTCGCAATGCGTTTCGAAAACAGCGTCTGGGCCTCTCTCGCCCTTGCGTTCGGCGCCGTCCCGGCCCTCGCCTGCGAGAGCTGCGAGCATCCCGAGAGAGACGTCGTCTTGACCAGAAATGTTCGTCGCGCGCAGCCCGATGCGCAAGCGGCCGCCGTCGCGCCTCGTGGTCCGCTCTCGTGGGGTCAATTGAACTTTCTTCACACCACTGGTAAGCCAAACTTGGTCTCTAAACAAAATTAGAGTGCAACTTCGTGTACACTAACAGCCTCGGCACAGATACTCACGGATGGTACGATCTCTAACCCCCTTCCCTAACGAGTGTCTCGCATGGCTCATGCTGACAATGTCTACAGGCTCGAGGGACACATTCGCGAGCAAAACTACGGTGCTGATTGGGGTGACTTTGTGAGCTTCGTCAAGCACATGCGCAAGAAAGCCAAGGACCTGGATGTTGACTTGCTGGTGGTTGACACCGGAGTAAGTTTTTGCTCACGAGCCATCTTCAACACCAGTTTTACTAACGCAC